GCACGACTTCACCAGCAGGTAAATTGGTATGTACCGGATATTTATTTTCATCAATTTGAACTTTTGCATCACACAAGTTTTAATTTCAAAATTTGCATTTAGGATTGAATTTTGAGGAAATTACTTGAAATGAATTTTCCAGAGCAAACCAAAATAAAATTTTCAATAAAAATTCGCTGTGCCACGACCACACTGACCGTTGTAATCCAACGGCCGAAAGTAGGGCTAGTTGGGCCCACCAGGGGTTCGGCCCAACCAGCCAGGCCAACGATCGGGTGCCTCTTTCTTTGAGGCAACGACTAGTGGGCCCCACAGGTCAGTTGTGACCGTTGTGGGTGCACTATATAAGCCAACCGGCCAGGAGAGTGAAATCCATTCCATTTCAACTCATTTTCATTCCCTCTTCAAGCTTTGCTCTCAAAGTTCATTCAAGCATTGCTAGTTTACCTCAAATTCAAACACTTAGCTGCATAAAACAAGTTGCTTTGGTGAAGCTAACCAGCGGGTGAAACTTTTGTTATGTTAACCCCCGCCGAGTTAGTCCATTCTTGTTTCCTTTGTGCAGAATGAGGAGGCGACTGTCTCGTCTATTTAAGAAGGGACCCGGCTCTCCGTTAAGTCATCATGACGAGTCTAGCACTCATTCATCTGCAGACATCTCGATGGAGGATGCTGACGTTCCGTAACGTCTCTTGAGCGACGCCGACCTCGACCTTGTCGGTGATCAGGAAAAACAAGCCTACTACATGCTGAAGGACCGTGAGTATTCTCAAGCTAGTGGAGTAAGAACAAAATAGAAATCAGAGTCCGGAAGTCTTCGGGAGAGTTTGGGTACGGCTCTAGCAGCTCTCCTTATTTCTTTTGTAAGACTTGTACTTTATTTAGAATACTCTTCTTTATACAATTCTAGTATTGTAGTACTTTCAAAGTATATGAATGCCAGCTTTACTTTATATCTGAGTTATATTGATTATACTGCTAGCTTATCTGGGGGATGCAATGGTACGGGTATATTGTTTGCTTGTGCAATTACTCTATGTCATGACGATGATATTAGAGTAGTATCTGGTAGTTTAGGCGAGGTGTCTAAAATACTGCGTATCATTATTTTGGGTTATAAGCTGCGGAAGAGAGGTGGGTTGCTGATGGTCACAGCTCCGTACGGGTATTCCTTCGCGCGTGTATTTAGTCCTGGTTGTATGGTCATGGCGGGCTGTCGTAAGGAATTCGGCAGTCAGGGGTGGTTTCTCAAAGTACCAGGAGAGCATCGGAAAAAGGGTATTAGCTAGTTAATTTTATAGCTAGGATGTATGTATAATATGTATACTAGAAGTATAAGAATAGATTCTTTTCTATTTTTTTCCTCTTAACTTAGATAGTTTATTATGATAATGAGTAGTCTTATACTTGTGTGTCATTCTACCCTATGAATTATATTAACCCCTGCTTAGACTATGTTCATTACAAGTAATATAAAAATTATTTGTACGGTTCTTTATACTATAATCTTCCCACGGGAGTAAACAAATACGATACCCTTGAATACTCTCGGGTGAAATGCTACAATTGTATATCCGTGCGCTTGCGGATAAACTCTGTAACCATAATATACCAAGTGTATTTTTGCGTCATTGCTGGGAATTATATTTCTAGAAATGTCATTTAGAAATACCAACAGCAGCGGCGCCGACCACGACGACGCCAACGCCGACCCCGACGACAACGAGGAGTGGGTGGCGACGACGACGATGACGATGCGGGTGGTGGCGGTGGCGCTGACCTCGACGACGATGACGAGTGGGCGGTGACGCGGGCGGCGGCACCACCGCCATCCCCGTCTCACCGTCACCATGGAGCTGGGCCAGATCCGGCGGTGGTTCGCCTCATCCCGCCCGGATCTGGAGGCGGGAGCAGCCGGTGGGAGCGGGGGCGCGTGTGGCCGGCGAGCTCCGGCGGCGGCACCATCGCCTGCAGCTAGGGTTTCTATTTTTTGGAATTTTATTTTTTTTCGTGATTTTTTCTCTTTGCATGTGGTCGGCTTAAGCGATTTTCGTATGCGGGTGCCCTGGTCGCATGCAAAGATTCGCATTTTCACAGATGATTTGGCTCATGCGGTTGGCACAACCGCATGCGAATATCGCTCCGGCCTGTTTGCAAAAAACGGTTTCTGTGGTAGTGTGGATTTATGTATAGATTAATTTGGATGTGGAGATGGATTGTATGTATGTGAATGTTTGGGGATTTTGGACATGGCATTATGCGAATATTGTGTGGGATCGGTGAATTTGTGAAGCTGAATACGTGGATGGATATATTTTATGGCTGCTAATGGCGGTACATTCATAGCAGCCAATGTTTTGCTGTAGGATTATAGGTGCTCGTTATCGCATAGAATAGGTATCTATGGCTATGGGGCTCCTAGGAATGAGCTAGCAGCCCCGTAGGTCCCGCCTTCTGTTTCAAAACCCGCACCTACGTGATATCATAGATAACAGTTCTAGCCTAGCTAGCACCAGCATCTATCGGGCTACTGGTGCATCCCCAAGAAACCCATAGGTGTTGGTTTAACTATAAAAAACCCTTGTAGAGACCAGTCTTATATGTGCCGGTTCAATTAAAATCGACACCTATAAGCCTTTTCCACCTCCGCACAATGAAAAATAAAAGATCGACACCTTTAAGCACTGTAGGCACCGGTTCAACAGAAAAAACTGGCACCAATATTGTAGTCTCCGGTTCAACAGAAAAACTGGCACCAATGTTGTAGTCTGTAGGTGTCGGTTTTTTAAAATAACCTGCACCTATAATATACTATAGTACCGGTTTTTAAAGTACCGACACCTATCATATATTATAAAAAACCAACACCCATCGAAACTGACCGAGCCAAGCCGATTGATTCGTGCGCGTCCTCAACGAATAAAAATTGATCGACCTTATCCTCACCGAGTCGACCTTATCTCCTCAGCTCCTCTCCTTCTCCATTTTGTCCTCCTTGTCCTCCATCCCCTCCCTCTCTCTGTACGTGCCGGGAGCCGTGGGCGGTGGTAGCGCCCGAGGGGCAGTGGCAGGCGGAGGTCCCGCCAGCGGGAGCGCCCTCCCTTCCGCCGGATCTGGTGGGAGGGGAGGCGGCAGGAGGCAGGCGGCGGCGCTCGAGAGGAGGCGGCGCGCGGTGGTGGCGCCCTTCCTTCCGCCGGATCCGGTGAGAGGGGAGTTGGTTGGGCAGCGGCGCCCAAGGGGAGGCCGCGGGTGGTCTCTACGACAAGCGGTGGTCTCTCTTTTGACCTTTCTCGCATCCCATAGGTGTTGGTTAAACCAACACCTACACTATAAAAAACCCGTGTAGAGACCAGTCTTATATGTGCCGGTTCAATTAAAATCGACACCTATAAGCCTTTCCCACCTCCGCACAATGAAAAATAAAAGATCGACACCTTTAAGCACTGTAGGCACCGGTTCAACAGAAAAAACTGGCACCAATATTGTAGTCTCCGGTTCAACAGAAAAACTGGCACCAATGTTGTAGTCTGTAGGTGTCGGTTTTTTAAAATAACCTGCACCTATAATATACTATAGTACCGGTTTTTAAAGTACCGACACCTATAATATATTATAAAAAACCAACACCCATCGAAACTGACCGAGCCGAGCCGATTGATTCGTGTGCGTCCTCAACGAATAAAAATTGATCGACCTTATCCTCACCGAGTCGACCTTATCTCCTCAGCTCCTCTCCTTCTCCATTTTGTCCTCCTTGTCCTCCATCCCCTCCCTCTCTCTGTACGTGCCGGGAGCCGTGGGCGGTGGTAGCGCCCGAGGGGCAGTGGCGGGCGGAGGTCCCGCCGGCGGGAGCGCCCTCCCTTCCGCCGGATCTGGTGGGAGGGGAGGCGGCAGGAGGCAGGCGGCGGCGCTCGAGAGGAGGCGGCGCGCGGTGGTGGCGCCCTTCCTTCCGCCGGATCCGGTGAGAGGGGAGTTGGTGGGGCGGCGGCGCCCAAGGGGAGGCCGCGGGTGGTCTCTACAACAAGCGGCGGTCTCTCTTTTGACCTTTCTCGCATCCCTGCCCCCCCCCCCTATCCTCTTCCTCTGCATCCCCCCTCCAGATCTAACGGCGGTGGCGCCTCCACGGCCAGAGGCAGCAGTGGTGGAGGAGGTTCGCGGACAGCAAGCCGTTTCCACGGCGACGACAACCTCCATGGTGGTATGATTGTGGGCGGCTACCCTTTGGCGGGGCTCGGTGGGTGGCGGGTGGCCTCACAAGTGGTGCGGCGCGGTGGGCGACTTCCCAACGACGGCTCGCTGGTCCCTCAGATCCGTGCGTCCTCCTCATCGGTTTCGTTCTCTTCTTTCCTGATCTGCGTGTTTTTTTATTATAGAATGGTGATCTGTGCATGTTTGATGTTTATGTGTTTTTGGATGAATGGATGATGGTATGTGGATGTTGATGATTAATGTGTTCATGGATGTGCTGCTCGGGATGCTTTGGGGATGTTTGCGGATGATGGTATGTTGATGGATTGATCGAGCTGTCGAGCCTCTTTTTTTTTTTTTGCGCCTATGCCGTATAGGTGCCGGTTGTTAGTGATGAATCGGCACCTATAATTGCTAACCGGCACCTATAATCTCAATAATAGGTGCCGACAAATTGGTGCCAGTTTAAAAACCAGCACCTATGACCAATTCCCAACCGGCACCAATGACTATTTCTGTACTAGTGCTACAGTTCCTCATAAGTATCGGTTCTAGAACCAGCTCTAATCACATAACCTAGGTTAGTGGTTCCGCATAATTTGTACCGGCACCAAAACTATCTATGGACCTGTTCAAACCGATACGTAAATGAGCCTAGCTGAAGTAGTGGGTGCTCCCAACGTGCCACCTGTGAAAATAGGGCCGTAATCATAGGTGGTCGACTTCGCAGGCTGCTGTCCATTAGATCCCCAGCCCACCCACCACTATTTATGCAGGCCTGGCCTTGAGGTGAAAAATATGACCCATCTATGTAGTGAAAGGGCCTTCGCAGCCTAAAATATATAGATATAGTTTTTCAGGTAGTGTATCCATAATTACCTCAACGAAAAAATGTGGAACTTGCATAAATCCAAAGTACATAGTAAATAAAACTAGACAGCGACCATTGTCTTCGAATCATTCACCTCGGTCAAACAACTAACATGCATATGTGGTTACATGCACTGAACTGGGAGATGAATATGGAAAATGATGTCTTCCAAAGTGTGCTTCACACTCCCAAAATGAACAGTATTTGAAGGAGAAGAAAGATCCGGAATGCCTCGGTCAACCTCGAGTGAGGTGAGGCATTTCTTGCTTGGGAGCCTACAATTCACCAAAACAGGACTATCTTCAAAACATGTTTGGTTGTTTAAATGTACGACGTTTATTGCTAAAACTGTTAATGCTCAGGATATGGGATACTGCATGCCTTATCGATCGAAAGCTAGATAGAAACTGGATTCTTGTTACATTGGTTTATATATGCTAGCTTGCTGCACACCAAATTACATTTTTCCATTGGTTTGGAAATGAATGGAGGAAAACACTAAATGTGCATTATAATAATGTATATGGAAGTCCTTATTGTAGTGTATAGACAGATTTAAAATGTTATATATCACTTTTCCAAATTTTATGTGTGTGTCTTGTGTAAATTAAGAGTAATATATATGAACACTTGATCCCATACATGCAATATTATACATATATACTACTCCCACCATTTCATATTATAAATCGTTTGACTTTTTTCTAGGCAAACCCGGTTACATTTGACTAAATTTATAGAAAATATAATAGTAATTTTAACATATATAACATAAACATAAACATAGTATCAAAATATATTTTAGATGTTGCTAAATTAAGTTTGACTTAAAAAAAAAAGTCAAACAACTTCCTTCTGAAACGAAGGAAGTATAAGCATACCTGTCGAGGAGTAGCCTGCCGATGTTCCATGACCTGCCAATTATGGTAGAAAAAGATTAGCTGTGACAACCAAAGAGATATATGTTGTTCTTAATGAACAAATTTTCTGCATATTATTAATTTGTTTTCACGTAAGCATATATATAACCACTTTTTGAACTTCCAATCCTCTAATTTTTCAGCCCGATCTATTTTTTGTAATTTTCCAGTATGTATAGTAGATTTTTGTTTAGCCATTTGATTTGATTATTTCAAAAGCTTCAGAGTAATATCAAGATATCGCATCCATACTAGTACGACATTAGTTAGTAATTTCTGTTGCCGCACGAGTTACGATTTTTTTTTTCTGACATATGGTATTGATGAAATCCGTCAAAAAAAACTTTTTCAAAATAATTACTCATTTCAGAAGGGTGCAAATTCGCTTGTCCTAAACTAATATATTACTCGTTTCAAAAAGGTAGAAATTCGTTTATCCGAAAGTAACTATACTACTCGTTAGACTTCAGTATAATAGTACAAAAAATCGATCGGTTGAAAAGATCACCAGAAATGCACTTCTTTCATTTTTTATACTATAGGTACATTATCTTTAAAAATTATAATCCTAGCACTTCAATTATGGGAGACCACTGAAGCTTTAAATTCTCACATAATAAGAGTTTAACTGAAAAAAGGAAAAGAAAAATCTCAAGCGTCAATCTATGGTTGTATCTAACGTCTGCGATTATATACAGCCGAATGCAAGGTAACACCAGCGTAGATTCATATCCAATTGATTGTTGCAATTTTTTGAAGTATTATCCAAAAAAAAGTAACCATACGGAGGGTATGCAAATAGAATGCTCAATTCCCTCAAAAAAAAAAAAGATGGTCATCAAATGTTTTTGTTGACCATTCTCAAGTTATTTGATAATATTAACAAACAATTTCTATGAAATTTAACATATATCCCATCGCAAAACACGGAGCACCATTTTTTTTTTATGAAAAATGCATTAAACCAAACAAAGCAAGACCTCCACGTAAACAAATCGAATAAATAGCAGGATTTGCGACTAAGTACGCACCTGCTTGCCCGTTGTCGCAGATGGTGGAGGAAGCGCCAGGGATCTTGCACCGGGCGAACATTTGCTGATCGCCGTCGAGGGCGTTGCTCCCGACCTGCCTGGTGTCGTTTCTGGCCATCTCCCAGATCTGGCAGAGGCACGCCCGATCGCTCTTGAACACCTTCCCCAGCGCGTCGCAGCACGGCCCCAGCATGGAGCTGTCGTCGTACACGGACGCGCATGGCATCAGGTCGTTCAGGCACGGCGGGATCTCCGGCTGCGGCACGTCCGCCGGCATTGTGGATGGCAGCGGCGGTAGCCCCGCCGCCGCCGCCGTGGCCGCGGCCACCACGACTGCCAGTGCTGCTAGGAGGAAAGAGCGGATGTGTTCCATGATTGCTGTATGTCCGAGGGGTGTGACGAGAGCGCGATTGATGCCGCAGGATTTCTTCGAGTATATATAGAGTATATTATATATCAGTTCATGAACGAGAGAACGTGTGATCACCACTGAGTCCACTCTGTCCATGTTAGCTAAGCTGGTTGAGCAATATATTGCTGATCACGTCTCACTACATTAACATATCTGATCATTCGATACAGTTGACTTCCATGTGAAGACTTTGATATCTTAATGGTTGTGTGGATTATATTATTTTGTTTTGTTTAGAACCTACTAAGCACTTCAGGACACGCAAAGGGTGGACACACAATCGGTTATTGCTTGTTACGTATCAGTAAATGAGAACTTCTTACTACTCCATCCGTTTTAGGATATAAGACGTTTTGACTTTGATTAAAGTTAAACTGTTTTAAGTTTGACTAAGTTTATAGGCAAATATAGTAATATTTATAATACTAAATTAGTTTTAACAGATCAATAATTGAATATATATTCTTAATGAATTTGTCTTGGGTTGAAAATGTTACTACTTTTTTCTACAAACTTGGTCAAACTTAAAGCAGTTTGACTTTGACCAAAGTCAAAACGCCTTATAACATGAAACGGAGGGAGTATCTAATACTTATGTGGATGGATGATATCCGCCTCCCGCGTTGTCCATGCACATGCCCAAGCCGCCCCTGTCTCCCCTCTCCTCCACCTTGCTGCCGCCGGAGAGACTGCCTTGGCTCTCTAAGCAGCGAACAAGGATGGTGATGGAGGGGCCGAACCCCGACAACGCCTCGCCACTTGTGTGCAGGAGGCGACGACAAGCTTGGCAAGATAGAGGGCCTCTCGTGGTTAACCCCGGTGAGGGGCTGTATAACCGGCAACGGCATGATAGATATAGTGTGGAGATTATGGGTACTATATACCCACACGGCTGGGCTATCTGACTGTGAATAGGGGATAAATCATGTATATAGAATAATATAGAAAAAAGTCTAAATACCCCCGTAAACTCTACATGAAAGTTCGTTCATTTAGCTAGAATCCTGAACTTTAAAACTAGAGTTCTAACCCTACCCCTGAATTTTGTAAAATCGTTCATATTACCCCGTAAGGTGATTTTTCTTATTTTGAAAGTTTAAACGAACAACTTTAAATAACTAATATAATATATTTGCATATCATCAGTGGTAAGTCATCAATTTATATTTATACAATGATATTATACTATTATTATGTTGATACTTGTTTGTAATATATATTATACTTAATATATATATATATATATATATATATATATATATATATATATATATATATATATATATATATATATATATGTATGTATATATATGTCCAATGTGTATATCACGTGATCAAACTCATCCAATTTACATATAAATTAGATAAAAACCACTACACAGAACCACCTTAGGGGGTAATATGAACGGTTTTACAAAGTAAGGGATTGGATGTACAGTTTTAAATTTTAGGGTGCTATATATAGACTTCTATCTAATCTAGCGTATTTGGACTCTTTCCTTCCTTTTTTTATTTGTCAAACGGACTTTTTTTTGCCATCAGGCCCGTTAGGCTATCGGGCTGAGACTCGTTTTCTTCTCCATCCGAACCATTGACACGGCTTCTCCATCCAAACTCGCGCAGTGCGCAGTGGCGGCATCGGCAACGACAAGGCGGTGTGGCTACGATGCTCTCGCATCTCCTCCGTCGGTAGAACCCGTATTCTCCTCCGGCCATCGACGAGGCAGTCGCTTGAAAATGAGCAACGCGTGCCCCTCGGTGGTCAACGACGTCCGAGGCATCTCCCGTGCTGTGGAGATTACAGGTACCCTATACCCACACGGCATGGTTATCCGACTAGTTATAGGAGATAACTTATATCTATGGAATATGTAACAGATCATGACTTGGGTATTACGTTTCCCTGTATATTATGGAATGGGCTAAAGTCCTGGTTTGATAAGATTGTAAAGTAGATTTAGGAAACCGATACCGTATTGGTTAAGGTTTTTATATTGTAATCCTGCCTCCCATTTTATATAAGGCGGGCAGGAGGCCCTCCAGGGGCAGGAGACACAACTAGATCGTCAGATCTATACTACACCCAGCGAATTCAAATCCCCAAACAGGAGTAGGGTATTACCTCTTAATTGAGAGGTACTGAATCTGTCTAAATCCTTATCTCTGCATCCATCCACTTTTAGGTCTCGTGCGCTACCTCTTTTATTATTGCCGAATTCATGTTTCGACACGTGGTAATCAGGGCAGTCAAGTCAGGCACAGCGAATCCCTGATCTGAGCCCTGTTTGATTTCGTCTGCAATATTGTGGTATTAAGATGGATGGAAGGGATTTGGGATTTTTTTTTTTTTAGTTTTGTCTGATCTTTCAAGGTAAAATGAAGGGTCTCGAGTGCATTTTACACGTTGAGTACGATTGAAAATTGAACTAAATTTTGCCAGACTGCAAGGCAGGACCATGTATTTAGAAAAAAAATATTTTTATTAGTGCCTCAATTAGTTGCAAATTGCATCTGCACTGTTGTTTACTCCCTCTGTTAGTCATCATATAAGTTTTTCTCGCTAAAACCATGGAAGCCTTAACTTTCCTATATTTCATTGTATGCGAGTATGTGATGGGGAAAAATAAAAAACATGCACACTTCAACTGTCCCTATGCACAAGAAACAAAAACTTAATTTACATGCATGCAAACTTAATTTGCATGTATAATTAAACTAGAAAAATACCCGTGCGTTGCAACGGGTGAAGTCTATTTTAATATTATTATTGTTATATGGTTTAGATAAAATGAAATTTACTGTTCGAGTTCGCTTGGATATATATATATATAGAAAATCATGTGCTGCAGTTAGAAGTCCGATCGTCTCAAGTTAGCATGCGAGTTTTTTTAAATAGATTTCTTATATGATTCATTTTGTATACCAAAAGTGAACGATCTTAAAAACCGACTAAAATATGGATATGTATTTTCAAAAGCAAACGAACTTAAAAACCGATTTATACACGGATGATGTACCAAAATACCAAAACATAAAATTAAAACTGACTCAAACACGGATGACGAACCACAAAAACATCTTCAATTTTATAACCGACTCAAACATAGCTGACGGACCGCGGAAATATCTTCAATTCTTATAATAGTAGAGATAGGATAATACTACACGTTAGAGACAGGGTTATATCGTGATCTGTCAGGGTTACGGGTCAGGCATACCCTCTACCCTTCTATATACGTTACGGATCGACATGGCATACCCACGCGTACGCGGATATTTCCTGTATATTCTAAGAAAACCTTTCATGAAATCAACAAATGGGAAGAGTCCTTCTTGGATAGATCTGGGTTATCTACGTATCGTATTGGGCCTAGTATATTCGAGTCCTACTCGGAGAGCTCTAGACTTGCGATATAAAAGGGACCCCCCGGGGAGGGCATAGATCATTGAATCTCAGAGCCAACACAACCCACACAGCCTACGAAGCCGGAGTCTACGAGGAGCGAAGTCATCGAGAGCTAGTCGAATCCACTCGACTACAATCTCGCCGGATCCGACAAGTTCCATCGTTCCCTTTGTAACCCGTGTTTTCCAGCATATAATCCCATATCAACTGGATTAGGGCTATTACCTATCAAGGAGCCTGAACCAGTATAACTCTTGTCTTTTGATTCCTCGATGTCGTACTACGTAGATCCTTGTACCAGCGTACCCCAATACCCTCTATATCCGGTCTACGAGTATCACTCGTCGACAGTGGCGCGCCAGGTAGAGGCATCTGGTACTCAAGGTTCTACTACTATGCCATCCAGCTTCGTCGACAACAACGTCAACACCAGCTTCAGCCAAGCACTCCCTACTTCAACAATGCTGGTATGGACTCATGTCGGCGAAATTGTCTTCCCGGTTTACACCACGATGCCGATCTCAACCGGTCCTCCAATGACTGGAAATGAGAATGCAGTGGCTACGAACCAAGGCAACTCCATGTCGAAAAATCCACCCGTCGAAATGGAGAACGGATTACCGACTACACCCAAGCTCGGGAAGGATTCTGATGCGGCCAAGCCTTATCCTTCTGACATAAATCACGGGCTGACAAAGATGACTTCCGAAGCCACCAGGTCTTGGTGTCCTATCCACAAAACCAAGAAACACACCCTTCAAGATTGCTGGGTTTTTCTCAACGTCCGTGCTGAAATTCGCGCCTGCAAAGACCGTGGAATTCTGTCACATCCTGATTTTCGTTTCAGGATTTATAAATTATTTAATAAATTATTAATAGAATTTATATTAAATGTTCTTTAATTTACAAGTGAAGTAAAATGTGGGAAATAAAATTTCCTAAATATAAAGCATGGATGGATTTAATTTTTATTAAATTCTCCATGATTAAGTCAACTCTCTGAAATTTTCTCGGATTTTTCAGAGCTCAACTCTTAATAATACAAAGAACAGTTCAGTAATTATTTGATCATTAATGATCTAATTATAATTGTTAAGAGCTTTTCTTGTTTAAAAATCCTTAAATTATAAATTGTTGTTTAAAAGGAATTATTAGAAATGATTTTAAAAGCTTATAAGAGAAGATCTAATTTTAATTTGTTAAATCTCAATATAAAATTGGGCTAGATAAAATTTCATTAAATACTTTGCTTAATTCTATAATTCCTAGATTTTTCTGGGATTTATTTGAGCTAAGGAAGTATTTTTAGTAAATGGAATTGCATTTAAGAAATAATTTAAATTGAAAAAGGTTTTAAAAGTCTTCTTTTGGCTTTGGGCCGAAAGTCGGCCCAAAACCTCTCTTCTCTCCCTCCTCGGCCCAGCCGGCCCAGTCCGCAGCCGCGCGCGCGCGTTCGGTCGCTGACAGGTGGGGCCCGCTTGTCGGATCCGTCTTCCTCGCGTCGCCGCCGCCGCCCGAAACCCTAGCGCAAGCCGCCGCCGTCTCCTTCCAAATTCGGCCGCGTCTTTCCTTATCCGGCCGAATCGTTT